CAGCTCAAGGCTAGCACTCTACCACTTGAGCCACAACACCACTTCTGGCTTTTTTCTTTTTGCTTATGTGGTGCTGAGGAATTGAACCCAGGGTCTCATGCATGCAAGGCAAGCACTCTACCACTGAGCCACCTTCCCAGCCCCAGGTGGCTCTTTTTCTTTTTCTTTTCTTTTTTTTTTTTGTCAGTTGTGGGGCTTGAACTCTGGGCCTAGGGGCTGTGCTCTTCAGCTCAAGGCTAGTACTATACCACTTGAACCACTTCTGGTTTTTTGGTGATTAACTGGAGATAAGAGTCTCATGGACTTTCCTTTCCTGGGCTGGCTTTGAAGTGATCCTCAGATCTCAGCCTCCTGAGTAGCTAGGATTACAAGTGTGAACCACTAGTACCTGGATGAGGTGGCTTTTTTATTTTTATTTTTCAAGCAGGAAGAATGAGGTGGCTTTTTTTAACACTGGCTTCTAGGGCTTTGCGTAGATTATCCTTCTAACTCGGTGACTTCTTCGTCATTGTTCATTTCTCTTCAGCTTAGTCTGAAATAATGGAGTAGTTGGTTATTTGACATCACTTAACTTTGTAACTTATATTTTCATCTACACCGTAGATCTACCCCAATTTGTGGATACCCCAATTTGTATCCACAATATGTATTCCTCTTGTCTCTATACTCATGTACCCACATGTACATTTAGATGTTTCAATCAGACTGCCCAGTGTTACATCTGGATTTCCAGAACAATCAAACTTACTTTCCTCAAACCAAATTCTTTTCCTACCTACTCCTCTGTCAGTCTGCCTCATTTTAATTAATAAAAATTCAATTTTTCTAGTTGTTATGACCAGAAGACTTGGACATGCTGACTTTTTTTTCACATCCAGTTTTCACATTGAGTCAACTTTGAGAATATATTAAGAAGTCTACCACTACTTACTGCCCTGTTCTAGGCCTGTATCAGCTCTTGTCTGATCCAATGCAGTAGTTCCTTAGTGAGGTCTCCATTTTTATATTTATCCCTGTGATCTGTGCTTCACAGAATTGTCAGTGGATTATTTGATTATCATTCAAATCAGATGATATCACATTCTCCGCACAAAGCACACCATTTGCTTCACATCTTATTCTGAATAAAGTCTAGTGTTTTCTTAGGCCTGTGTGTGGTGTCTGTCCCGTTTGCCTTTTGAATATCTCTCTCCCATCATTTTCTCCCTTACTATACTCTAGTCACATGGAACTCGTTGTTTATCAAGCATACCTAGCATGTGTTTATGTTGGCCTTTATACTTACCATCTTTTTCCTGAAACAGTTTTCCCTCTGTTGTTGTCATGGCTTATTTCTCCATTGAGATCTCTGCACAAATGTTTCTTTCCTTGCCCATCTGATAACACTCATCACCTTAATCTCTTTACCTCTTTACTTTTAGTTGTTGTCTTAGACCTTATATATTCTTTTCTGTTTTTCTTCTTCCTAAGAGAACGTTGGCATGCAACATTCTCTTGGCAAATACAGGCAGTTCTATTAATGGTCAATAATCTTTTCCTAAAGATAACATATTGTACATTAAAATGCTAATAGGAAATCTATTTCCCATTATTTCGTGTGGGAAAATTATAATACTTTGTCAATGCAAAATGTTCATCCAGGGGCTGGGAAAGTGGCTCAGTGGTAGAGTGCTTGCCTTGCATGCATGAGGCCCTGAGTTCGATTCCTCAGTACCACATAAACAAAAAGAAAAAAGCCGGAAGTGGTGCTGTGGCTCGAGTGCTAGAGTGCTAGCCTTGAGCTGAGGAGCTGAGGGATAGCGCTCAGGCCCAGAGTTCAGACTCCAGGACTGGTTAAAAAAAATGTTCATCTAGTTTTTTTCAAATGTATGGGCTGGGAAGTTGGCTCAGTGGTAGAGTGCTTGCCTCTCATGCATGAAGCACTGGGTTCAATTCCTCAGCACCAAGTAAGCAAAAACAAACAAACAAAAAACAAAAAAAAAATCAAATGTAGTTCCTCCATAAGATAATATAGCAGTGATAAATAAACATTTTGAGACAATGCTTAAACTAATCATTGTACCTTGAAAACCATATAGCTATTAATTACTTTGATTCTCCATCTTTCTTTAGTAATTTCTCCCCTTTTTGGGGATTCATTGTGTAGACACTAGAGAAAAATAAGACCTATTTATGAAAGCCTCCCTAGAAACATGTACAGAGAATACTTGAGACTATGAGGTTAGTATGAGCTTAGTTCTAAAATCAGTGGAGATTTGTTGGTTCTTATTGAACTTTAGCCTAGCATTCTAACTGGTTGTTCAGAATGTAAATTGAAGTCTCAGTCTAACTCATGTATTGTTTTATTTAAATGTCAGGTTAAGATTTAGAAATATAAATTTTTCTGTAAAAATATTGAATAAAACACTACGTATTAAATTGTATCTCTGGTCTGTAATGGCTGTGCATTAAAAACCGAAAGTCATTCTCCAAAAGAATAATATTCTATAGGAAAAGTATGCATGTGTTAAAGAAGCAGATACAAACATTGTGATATATTAAATGCATGTGTATTGCTGTTTTAAAGATCTAGAAAGAAAGTTTCATGTTTTTGAAACATATCATCTGATACAATTAATAAAAGTTTCATCAGACATCAATCTTTTCTCCAAAGTTTATCTTTTTCTCCCTCTTCTTCTCCCTTTCATTCTATCTTTTCTTCTCCCTACCTCTTTTCCCTGCCCTAGAATGTCAGAATGTATGTGTGTGTGTGTGTGTGTGTGTGTGTGTGTGTGTGTGTGTGAAAGAGAAAGGGGAGGAGTGAAAGGAAGAGAGAGAGAGGGGAGGGGAGAGAGAGAGTGTTGGTGTGTTAATATACTTATTCATATTTTGAGGTTATACTATACTAGAAAATAACAGAACCAGGAAAAGTAACAAAATGAAATTACCAGCACAGAAAATGCAGTTATTGAACAAAAATTTGCTTCATTTTTTAACAGTGGCAGGATGTGAAATTTATCACCAGAATATCCGGGTATTTTGACAAGCATACTATTTTGACCTAAGTAGCATAAAGGAGATGCTACTGAAAAGAAAAGAAAAATGACATTAGTAATGAAGTCCTCCATTTTCTCACACTATAGATAGAATCTCCAAATTTTTGAAGTACATAACCAGAAGGAGATTCACTTTTTGAAAGATAAACAAAGATGGACACTAGTTAAAATGGTAAGGACAGATTTTAATTAGTAATATGTTATTGTAATAGGGAGAAAACTCCAGTAAGATCTGAAAGGGAAAACAAGAAGATGAGGAGGTGATGAGCTGGTCCAGAGTCTGGTAAAGCATTTCAGCAGCCACGAGGGGAGGTGTTCGTCTAGTCTGGGCTTGCCAACTGGTGTTTATGGCTGGGTCAGGCTGTTGTCTTCTTACAGAGACTGGGGAACAGTAGTGCTGTCTTCAGGTGTTGACAGGAACACATGTTAAATTCTTTTGGCTGCTATGAGTTTTCTCAGCTAATCTTAAGAAGGGTTAGGAGATTTCTATGGATGCAATGTTGAGCTGTTTGAAACAATGTTAGTATTTTGCTCAAGTGTTGATAAGTCATCATGGAGGACTATATGAGAGAGGGCTCAAGGAAGCAGGGCTAGAGTTGAGGTAAGGAGAGAATCATTGTCAGATCTTACCCGGAGAAATTGCAAGTCATATCCTGTCTATTACCTCATCAACTTATCCTGATTTCCCATTACACTGATTTAAACCACTCTTCTTCCAAGGCTCACAAAGCCCTAGGTGATCTAATTCTACTTGTATTTCCAGCCTTGTGTTACACTGTAACTCTGACTCACTCATTGTGTTCTAGCCATGGTTTTTGTGTTTTTTTTTTTCAACACCCCTCTTTGCATGTGCATTTTCCTCTGCTTGAAAGCAGAAGCATTCTTTGCTTGGCCAGATCCCTTTTAACCACGTTACTATCACCACCTCAGAACACATTCCCTAATTTATCTCTTGAACCTAGGTTCTCAGTTTTCTCACTCCCTGTATTTTTTCCATAGAAGAAATTGCATTACAACTTGGAATTGCTGATATTTTATATATTGCTATGCCTCTACAGAATATTAGTGCCGGGACTTGTTTACAGCTGAATGTTCATAGCCTAGCCTAGGACTTGGCATATCTTATTTAGTGAATAGTTATTGAATGAATGGAGACTCTTCATAAAAGTATTTGTTTGAAGTAAATAATTTTCAAGTTACTGACAAAAATATAAAGAGATAAGTGTGCTAAATTGATTAGCATCTTGTCTTGAATGTGTGATCTATAGTATCTTTCTGTTTGCTTGTTTACTAAGGCAGGTTCTTGTTTTGTAGTCCAGGCTTGCCTTAAATTCATAACCCTTCTTCTACCTCTGGAGTGCTAGGATTACAGAAGCATATACCACACAGGTGGATAATAACCTAGTTTTTTTATTTCAATAGTGTAACAGTTTTTAGTACACAGTGCAGAGACATTGTAAGTACACTTACATTGTTTCACAGCTATCATCTCTGACCATCTTGTGAACTTTTTTATCTGTCCAGGTTGATCTTTTGTATCATTAATCACTGGATTTCTCATTCCTTCATTCCATAGCTCTCATAACCACCATTTCATTTTGAATTTTTATGAGTTTGATATTATATTTACCTGTTATAAGTAAAATTATACATACAGTAGGTGGCTTTTTGTGGTTTAGCGTAGTATTTTCAAAGTTCACCCATATTGTAGCCTGTATCCAAATTCTCTTCCTTTTTAAGACTGAATAGTAGTTTATAGTACATATATACAACCTTTTGTTTATTCATTTATTGTTGGATGGACATTTTTTTCCTACCCTTTGGCTCTTGTGAGTAATGCTACTATAAATAAAAAAACACAGTTCATGTCAATGCTTTCACTTCTATTGAGTGTATATTGAAAATTGGTGGATCATATTGAATTTTAAAGTTCTGGTGGAATTGTCATACTTTTCTCCATAGCATTTATACAGTTTTGCATTCCTATTAGCATTGCACAGAAGTTCCAGTTTCTCCACATCCCAGCCAATATTCTTTATTTTTCCTCCCTTTTGTTTCATTGTTTTGTTACTAGTTTTACTAATAGCTATCCTAATGGAGGTGAAATGGTGACATATTCTGGTTTGATTTGAATTTCAAGAGACTAGTGATGTTCAGTATGTGTTTATTGACATTTTCTGTGTCCTTAGAGAAATGTCAAAGTTCTTTGCTCATTCTTCGAGTCAGGTTGTTTATTATTTGGCTTTAAATTGTTAAATGTTTTATCTAATACAGAACATACACAAATATTTAAAACATGTTTTCTTTCTGTCAGTGGTGCAAAGTATAATTTGCTAGCTCATACTACCTTAACTTTGGAAAGTGCTGAAGATAGCTTCAAGACCCATAATCTCTCTATTAGCGGAAATGGTAAGTATATATTTTGCATGTATTATTTAATATATGTGTGTGTCTGTGTATGTGTAGTTACAGTGATAAACTTAATTCTTCTGTATTTTTTGGAGTGGATAATTAGCCTACGTAATGTAGAGATAAGTGATTCTCTGGGTTCTTTTAAGAATGTTTGTCTCTTTCCCCAAAGGGAAAAATTTTAAGCTGCCTTAGTAAGAGTAATAAGGTGTGGGGTATGCTTGAGGCCTTATCTCTGCCTTTAACGTGATGACTCACCACTCATCTAGCTGTACATTTTGAAATTAAGGACACCAACTCATCTCTTGGTAGGAAGCAGAAGATATAAGAAAAAGTGGAGCTAAAATAATCCTCAGCCTTTTCTCTTTGTAAAAGTGGTCATTATAGTTTGTCTAAAGAAATATATAGTAAAGTATAAAAGGAGGTTAGGAAATAAGAAGGATTTATAAACTTGGTATGGTCACTCTAACCAATTATTTTACCTGTCATAAAAAATATAGAGTAATGTTGGAAAAGTAGCTCATAAATCTGATTTGAATTATATACTTGTTCATTTTCTGGAGAAAATATATAGAATTATGTGGTAAATGTACTTACTGTTGTAAAGATTGATGCTCCATAGAAATGGGATTGATGATTTCACAGCATTTAAGTTTATTTGCAAACATTACATTTAGAACAGTAGAATAGTTCATGGAGTGTAAATGTACAGTTTATAACAAATAATTATGAAATGTATCCCTCCAAAAACGTGCCATTGCAGACACCACTTTCCCTGTTTATGGCAGTATAGATATGTCTATGGTGTTTGCTTTTTTGCTTTTCTTTTTGGTTCTGCCATATGTATACCTAATGTTGTCTGGTTTGAACTTATGGGTGTAATCATATTATTCCATCTTGGGAAATGATATAATTTACTTTTGTTCATTATGAATTATATCCCTTAATATTTCATTGTATGATTATAGCATTCTATCTTTAATGCTGGGTTAATTATTTTTTTGTTTTGTTTTGTTTTTATGTGGATACTGGGGCTTGAATTTAGGGCCTCTCTTTCTAGTGTGGCTTTGTTGTTCACAGATGGTTTTCTGTTCTACCAGTGGAGCTATGCCTCCAATTGGGCATTTTACTGGTTAAAGAGATAGTCTTACAACTTTACTGCATGGACTGGCTTTTAACAACCATCTTCTAGGTCTCAGCCTCCTGGGTACTATGATTATAGAAATGAGCCATTGGTATCTGGAAAATTATCTTTTTAATAAGTTCTAGCTGTTCTGGTTTTCTCCTTTTTTGTTCTTGAAATAAGTTTGCTTGGTTTATTATTCACTAATATGTTGTATGTATGGTAATATTTTTAGGAATAATGGTTGTACTGTACATATTCTATGTTACTATAAATTATAATAAAATATTCTATGATTATGACTTCTAGTCTCATAGTTATATCTATTTTTCCTTTAATTTTTTCAGCTTTTGTTATCAGGTGAATTATGTGAGTTTGTCTATTTTTATGTTATAGATCTTATATTCTTCAGATAGGGTTTTTTTTCAGATAGGGTTTTAAGTCAATTAAATCTTTTTTTTAATTGGAGCTTTTAGTCCTTTAGTATACAATAATGTATAGCTATATATTCGGCTATATATTATACCATGATAATTTTAATTTTCTATTTTTCCCTATGCTTATTTATCTTTTAGTAATGAACTTTTTTCTTTTTTAACTTTTAAGATAGATTACATTTATCCATTGAATCTTCTCCTTTTGTACAGTCCTTTTGTCATTTTTAGAGGTTAACCCTAAAAAATGTAATTATCATACTTTTTCAAGACTAAAAGATAATTATTCTTTCATCTCAGAGTGAGTAAGGAAGAACTTTAGAACAGTGATGCTCAATTTCCCTAATCTATGTGCTCTTATATATTATATTCTTTTAGTTTTTAAAGTTTAAAAATAAAGTTTATTTTTAAGATTTAAATCTTGGACCTAAGATAGTTTTCCTTTTTAAAATATAATCCATAAAACTTCTTCCTTCTCTTGTGTACATTTTAATGGGTTTATTATAACATTTTTATGCATGTATATAATATACTTTGATCATATTAACTCCTCAGGTACCCTCTCTCCCTTCACCCTCAGCCATCTTCATGAGTAGTACTCATTCTACTTTATTTAAATGTAGGTTCCACATATGATACTTGTCTTTCTGAGTTTAATTTTGCCTAACATGATAATAACTTTCATGAGATTCTTTTCATATCAAAAGTTTTGCTTTACTTTTGAAAGTTATCTTATAATTGTTGATTGATGATTTATAGTTGGATAAAAACCTCACTATTCAGACAACTTCTGTATGTTTTTCTTGCTTTTCTTTTCCTTCGTGCCTTTTAAATACTTGATCATTTTCTTCATTGTGTCCTCTATGATTCTTACCCCTTTGTGGCTCCAATTCTGTTTGATCTTCTATTAAATCTTATATAAGGTTCTTCATTTCAGTTATTGTGTTTCTCAGCTCTAATAATTCTACTGGACTTTCATATCTGCTGTGTCACTTTACTTACCCTGCATCCATTGTTGTTATTTTTTTTTAAATAAGAGTAGCCAGGCTTGGTGGCATTCTTGTAATTCTTGCTACTCAGGAAGTAGAAACAAGATTTCTGTTGAGACCAGCCTAGGCCCTCTTGTTGCCCCTATTGCTTTAGAAAAAACAATTATGTTTCATTCAGCTGTTTTCATCTTTTTCAGTATAAGGATTGATCTGAAAAGCTAAGAATTTGTTTCAGTCCTCTAGAACTAATGTGTCAGAAACCATCCTAAACTCTTTAAAAGCAGTTTTTATTCTTAAACTCTGTAAGATGCCATTGTATGGATTCGTCCTAATTCAGTTATTAGTAATGGGGACTGTAGAGTAAGCCAGTCTTGGATTTATATTCTAGTTCTACCACAGGGTAGCTCTGAAACTTTCCGAATGTCCTCATTTGATTGTCATTTACATTTTACAGGTGATAAAATACAACTTAGAGAACTGAAAAATACGTTAGAGCATGTAGTTAGTAAGTAGTTGAGTCAAAGACTAACTGTCAAAGCTAGATTGTGCTTGCTCTGGTGGGCTTTGCTGTCAGGCATCATTACTATTATAGTCCTACCCAAGACCAAAATATTATGATGTATGAAGGTAATGGAGCTAATGAAAGGCCTCATTCTTTCAAACAAGTCAGCTGAAAAGTGGTGAAAGGATTACAATTCACAAAAATATCAACTCAGCAATGGCCTTCCTTGGTTGTCCTCAGTGTTCTGTAAACTATTTCCAGATTCTACTTGGACAAAATATTGATGGGCAAATAAGTGTGGAAAATATTTTTCTTCAGGAAATATAATACCTACATATTAAATAAAGGGTGTGAAAAGACATGTGCTTTAAAACAATAAAATATTAAATAAAATATTAAATTTATAATGTTATCTATCTTATCCCATGATATTAACTGTAAACTCCATTGCAAACATATCATTTGTAATTTGTGAAAAATAAAAAAAAATAAAAGAAGTAGCTTTTCTGGCAAGCAGCAGGAAGACAAATTAGCAATTTGGAAAAATAAGGGCATATTTGCACATCTATCATACTCTCTTTGATTGTTATGAGAAAAACAATAAAATTCAGATCTGTTGACTTTGGAGCTTATAGATTCTTTAGATGTTATTACTACAAATCTATGTATTTTGAGTTTTCCTAAATAAAGTTATGACAAACTCTATCAAATACTATACAGTTAAGAGGAAGTGCACAATTTTTGAAAATTATATTATTCTTTATAATTCAAGAAAATAGCCCCATGGTGCCTGAAGGTTTATATTTGTCCTCATCAGGAAACTTTGATACTTTCATAAGCTGATGAAATTACATCATGAAGATTTCCCTACATATGGCCAAAATATTCTTTAGCTGGCATTCTCTAGTCTAGGTTTTGGTTGTCTCACCATTTTTAAACTCCTTTTGGTTTCCTGTTTGAAATTATGAATTAATTAGATAAATAGGTAATGTAATCTCAAACCATTCTTTCATTTTGTCTTTTCCCCATATGTCCTCTATTAGAAAACAATTAAGATTTTTTATTAGTGTATAACACAAGGACTGAGAGGTATTACTGAAAAATGGAAAGTGTGTGGTTTGGGAGTAAGACTGTCCTAGGTATCAAATTAAGAGAAGCAGTTCTTATGTGCTGGACACATGATAGATGTCAAATATGTATGTACTGGATTTTTATAACAACACTACTTAAGATCAGTAATATTTTTAAATTATGAGAAATTGAAACTCAGATATGCAAAATGGCTAAGTTAGGTGCCATATTTCTTATAAGAAGCATAGAGACATTGTGATCCTGTTTCATTTCCAAGTTATAAAGAAACCTAGGCTATTGCAGGATAAGTGGCAAATGGGTTTTGGAGTAAGGAATTCTAAGTCCAGTATCCCTTTTCATAGACTGCAGTCAGGAAGGAATTATTTTCCTTAAGTTTTCATTGCATGAAATGTGTGTTTTGCTAGAGAGAATACATTTTTCCATGTGGTATTTAAGTTCCAGGTACATTATTGATTGTACAAACTTTATGCACTAGACTGAGAATCTAATCATTTTTATTCGATTTCTTTAGGAGATGCATTCTAACTTACAAACAACTAAGTTATAGATATTTAGAAAATAAGCCATTCATAAATCTGAAATTTCCCTTATAAAAAATTGCTGATGTGCTACTCAGATGCATGACTTCATAGAATTTTTATTTCATTTCCTACTGATTTTAGGAAAGGTAACCTGTTTATTTATGTTTGCATTTTGGAATCACTGTATATATTGTATTTATGCACTTATTTCTCCAAGGTTACCTTTAACAAAAAAATTCTTTAAAAAAAGATGGATTAATCTCAGAAAAAAATTGTATGCTTTTGTATAGTATAATATTCTATTGGTAAGTGGCTAAAAAACTTCTTGTACTTTGTACTTTTTATTTGAGCAGATTTTTCCCTTTAACCAATAGCCTTACTGTTGACTACCTTTATACCTATATGTTGAGTAAGTGTGTTTTTATAAAAAATATTTTTTCCTGAGTTACTCAGACTTTCAGGAAAACAATACTTGTAGGTAATGACTGGCTATTTTATACAGATAACTGACAACAGGGTTAAGTTTTGAGAACTTAAAGAATAATTTCGGGGCTGGAGTATGGCTTAAGTGGTAGAGAGCCAGCCATGGGCAGACAAGCTGTGCATGTGCAAGGCTCTGAGTTCAAACTGCATTACCACACTTTTGTACAAAAAACCATTTAGAAAAACAAAGAAGGGGGTAACAATGCTTGATAGGAAATGTATTCATTACCTTACTTGTGTAACTATAGCCCCTCTGTACAGTATCTTTACAATAAAAATATATATTAAAAATCATTTAAAATCATCTGTGTATGCAGCAATGTGATTTAAGGGCCATGTTTGGATTTTTATTGTACCCTGTTGCACAGGATAAATTATTCAGAGTTTTTTTCTACATAGATAGGAGAAATAAATACCTACTCTCACACTTTATTAGAATATCAAAATGTGTCTTGATTTTTTTAAATAACCTCAAAATTTAAAAAAAAACTTGCAAGTTGAATGTCAGTGTCTTTTTCAAAAAAATTACACAATGCCAAGTTGCATTCCTGACTCTCAATGACTCCCTTCAGAATGTTTATACATCTTAAGTAGAATCAAATCATCCAACTATCACTGCATCAGTTCATGAAATGAATAGTACACATTATCACCATCTATTTAATCTAGACTCCAAGTATTATCTATTGCTCCAACAATATTCTTTGTGGTAAAGGAATCTACCTGTTGCCTTTACATGTGCTACTCTAGTTTCTTTTAATCTGATTTTAATGTAATGAACTTAATATTTTAAAGATTATAGTATGTTATTTTATAAATTGTCCCTCAATTTGGTTTTGTCTCATGTTTTCTTAAGATTCAGAATATTTATGGACTCAATTTTCCTGTTTTATTCAGACCATCATAATTCATTTTGAAGTTCAAATTGTTCTAGATTTGGCCAATGGAAGCATTTAAGATGGATTCTGTTTTTTTGTTTTGTTTTCAATCATATGCCACTTTATTGCTATGATGTACAAGATTTCATCTCATCATTAACTTCCTATGCTCTCTCACTGGAATCAGCCATTTCTGACAAGGACTTGGCTTGCCCTTTTCACTTGACTGTGTTTTGTGACACTGAGTTGGGTCACCTTGTGTGGCTGGCTTCCTTATTCTCTCAGTGTATGATTCTTATGCTTCAGTTGTCCACCAAACATAGTTGTTTTTGTTCTTAAAAGCATCTGACACTACACCACAAAGCACCACTCTAAACTGAGGCTCTCTGAGAACTCCTTACTCCACTGGGACCCTGAGTTTCATACTAGGACATCTTCTAATGACCATAATGACCACTTCTGGATGCCCTTGCACTGAGAACCTCTCTCACTCTAATCTAGATTGTGTTTTGGTATGAATGCTCTCTCAGCCTTCCATTTGTGGAGGTCTCCTGCTGACAATCTCCTCTCCCTTCTCATCTTGCCTGGCTTTAACACTTAGTAAAGCATCTTACAGCTCCCTTTCAGTCCTTTCACATGCTCTCCTTTTGACTACATTTGATGGCTTAGACCTTTTTGCTTAGAAAGGCAAGGAGAGAGGAAAGGCTAAAGGAGTTTATTAGATTATCTTAAGCCGTAGATGGAAATTATGTTTAATTCAGAAGGTCTTCTTGCTCATTACTATAATGAGAATCAGAGCAAAAAATAAAATTTAACTAATACAAATCACTTTATTAGAATATTTTTATATTAAATGAGTTCATTTATATTCTCTAAACAATCTCCACTAAATAATTACTTTTAAAACTAAGTTAGATCAAGAGACTAAAAGGTCTGTGATTTTTCTAAATGATAGCATATGATAAATTACAAGTTTCATATCATTCTTAATTTCTCACGTTTAATTTTGTCACTAAATATAGTACTACTGTTGGAATAAGTAAACCTTTAAGTGAAAATATTCTTAATGCTTTTGTATGAATACCTAAAATATATAAAGAAAAGTACCAGCATGTGAAACAGCCTTAATTAAACATGTATTTGTAACCTGATTTCTTTCTTTCTTTCAAACAGAGGAATCTTCCTATTGGCTTCCCTTATATGGCAACATGTGCTGCCGATTAGTTGCCCAGCCTGCTTGTATGGCTGAGGATGCATTTGCAGGATTTCTTAACCAGCGGGTCAGAGGACTTTAAATATCCTTTAAATATTCAAGCAGTGGTTTGACCTAATATTGAGGAGACTTTTGCCATGTCATTTTTAAAAATGTGATTGGACATAAGCCGTGGGAGGTATGGGCTAAGAAGGAGAGCAAGGGGAAAGGTCTGGTTGGTGGCTATAGAGCCATGATTTTCTGCTTTACCATCCTGCAGTCCAGGGATATTTGGCAGCAGAATTCCCTTGTGGAAACTGACTGGCTGCCCGACACCTTTCGCATAGAGGGCCTCCTGGCAGACAGCCTTTGGCATTGGTTAGGCCGCTGAGCTTCCAAAGCTGCCTCTGTGCTACCTACTCCTGATTTATTTATAACCACAGTTATTTATATGCAGTAAATAATTAATTGTGGGCTTCAATGAATCAATAGTTTTTCCTAAAAGATTCCATTAGCAGGAAAGAAAATTTGCATTCTTACGAGGTAGTCAACATTTTCTAATGTTCTAAGAACAGTAAGGGGAAATTATATTTTCAACATTGAGAGCTATTTTTATAATTTTCCTGAGTCATTTGATGAATTGCTATGGAATTCTAAGCAGCAATTTTTAATAGACTAGCTTTTCTAAAACTGCATTGATTTATGCTTTTATGTGTAAAAATTATGCGGTAATCATTACCTTCGTTTTGCTTAATGCTTTTGAGAATTTCAAACTTTTCTTTTCTGATATTAACTTATTCTTGGATTTGGGGTAATTAGCCTTACTGTATAGCAAATTAATGGGTTATTCTATCACATTTTAAATTTATAAAAAGCTAATTTAACTTTGATAACTTAAGTATTATATTGAATTTAAAGCTAAAGTGGTACGGATTTAGAGTTAATAATTTCTTGATTTTTTTCAGCAAATAGTTGGTGACCTAACTAGTTGGAGGAGGCTGTATTGTGTTTTGAGAGAGGGTAAACTCTTTTGTTATTATGGTCCAGAAGAAATTGAAGCCAAAGTGGAGTCAACTTTGGTAGTCCCCATTCATAAGGTAAATTAAATATTACTTTGAAAATAAAGATGCAATGTTTCATGAAGTTTGTTCATCTCTATGTACTTCAAATCATCTTATAAAGAAAAGGAGAGAACTGATAAAAACAGGTTAGTTCATAAAGACAGTATAAATCTTTTCTTTGCATTGTAGAGCTGTAGTAATATTGGAATTTATTTATTAATACTAGTAAATACTTGCAAATTGAGAATGTAATCCCACATCAACAAGAAATTTACATTTTTCATTGATTTATTGAAGAGGTTTATATAAACATAAATTGTTAGTTTAGGTTACAGTGATGCTTTTTCTAATTAATATTCAAATAAGTACATAAAACAACATTTTTTTTTTAAAAAGACATTTCTGTTGGTGTCAGAGGCTCACATCTGTAATCTTAACTACCAGAAAACTGAGATCTGAGGATCACAGTTCAAAGCTAGCCTGGGCAGAAAAGTCCATGAGACTCTTATCTCCAATAAACTACTTAGGAAATAGCCAGAAATGATGCTGTGGCTCAAGTGGTAGAGTTCTAATCCTTGAGCACAAAGAGGCTCAGAGGCAGCTCCCAGGCCCCAAGTTCAAGTCCCCAGACTGGCAAAAAAAAAAAAAAAAGATATCCCTGAGTATACCTTCTGAATTTATATGGGATTCATGGGTAATATTCAAACTTCTGTCACGACAGAAAGGCTTGTATACTACACTTAAAAAGTTGTTTTTGGCTGGTTGCCAGTAGCTTATGCCTGCAATCCTAATTACGCAGGAGGCTGAGATTTGAGGATATCAGTTTGAAGCCAACCTGGGCAGAAAGTGTGTGGGACTCAAGTGAAAGAGCACTAGCCTTGAGCAAAAGAAGCTCCTAGACAGTGCGCATGCCCTGAGTTCAAGCCTCAGGATCAACACAGACACACAAACAAAGTTGTACTTGCTAAATATAGAATCTGTTATTCATAGGTTTTATATATTTATGTCTATATGTGTCTTACGTAGGTGTATGTATGTTATTATGGATATATATACCTACATAAAACATATATATATATACTGGCTTGATATAAAGGAGATATTTGAATCTAGTTATAATTTTTTTTAATTTTAATGGTATTTTTATACCAAATATGCTGTATTTTCTATTTAATAGATTTTATTTATTTTTCTACTTGTTTTACATTTTTACATTACCTTTGCAGTAATTTAACTGAAGTGACTGTATGATGAAATATAAGTTATGTGATCTATTAACTATATATCTTCTACTTTGTTTAATGTTCTTTAGGTGGGAGTTGAACCTTGTACTTGCTAGGCAAGCACACTGTATCTTGAGCCAGGGCTCCAGCTCTTTTTGCTGTAGCTATTTTTTCTAATAGGGTCTCAAGTTTTTCCCTGTGCTGGCCTGAACCTTGATCCTCCTATTTCTGTGTCTTGAGTAGCTGGGATGGTAGTTGTAAGGCACCACATCCACCTTTATTTGTTGAGATGGATCTCCATCTCTCACGAATGCGTGGGAATTATAGATGTAAGCCACATTGTCGACCAAAAAAATTTTTTAAGGATAATGTAAATTCATAGGTTCTTTTATATTATAGTTGTATTCCCAAAAATGTGGTTACCTGCCAGTTTTATTATGTGTATACACATGAGTTTAGTTCCGTGATCTTTTCTGATAACATATATTGTCTCCTACTTTTACAAATTATGCTGCTTTTTAACTGAAAGAAATATTTTAGCAAGACCTTTTGTCATATAGTTAAGTCCACCTAATTTAAGTGCCTTATTTACTGGAAAAATTAATGTTGTTCTTTAATAATAGAAATATGATTGTGAGATACATATGTTTATTGATGAACAAGTTGTAGAATTTTTCAATACTTGTCAGGTTTGTTTTATTTTGTTGTGTTCTCTTTCATTTTTCCATATCTTAAGTTTTTGGAAGACTTCGAATGTATAAAAAAGTTTAAACAAAATAATTGACATCTATGTACCCATTATTTGGATTATTCATTCAGCCATTGACATTTATGTGTGTGTGAGTCCTAGGACTTGAACTCAGGATCTAGGCACTGTCTCTGAGCTTTTGGCTCAGGGCTAACACTTAACTACTTAAGTGACAGCTTCACTACTGGCTTTTTGGTGTTTTATTGGAGATAAAACAACTGGATTTCACTTGCCCGCGTTGGGCAAGTGAATAACTAAGATTATAGGCACGAGCTATCAGAGACTGGCTGCTATTGCCATTTTCTTTCCTCTTTTTTTTTTTATTGTGAAAATACTGTACAGAGGGGTTACAATTACATGGGCAAGATAATGAGAACATTTCTTATCAAGCATTGTAGCCTCCTCCTTTGTTTCCCCTTCCCATCCCTTCCCATCCTCCCCCTGCCCCCCACCCAATCATCCCCTCCCCCTCACACCAAAGTTGTAAAGTTCGTTTTTGACATAAAGACTTGTACATCTCATTGTTGCAATGAGTCCACCTGTATCCCTATTTAAATGATTTGTTTTTCCCCTTCCCCTCCACAAATTATACCGACATCAAATACAGTAAAAGCAGGGGTTATACTGTGGGGGAAGGCCATACAAAACAACAAAGAAATAATCTTATAAATGTGTTAGAAACAATCGCATGAAAGAAAAAAAAACATTTGAATACATATCTTAGGGTTCATTTCCCTAACATCACCTTATCTGACCTTTGCTGCTTGACTCAGACATAAACTAGATATTGCAAATAAGGGAACCCATGGGACCTATGTTTCTTTGGGCCTGGCTTACTGCTATTGCCATTTTTTTTGGGGGGGGGGTCCAGCCGCCGTGGGGCCGGAACCCTGGGCCTGGGCGCTGTCCCTCAGCTCTTCAGCTCAAGGCTAGCGCTCTACTACTTGAGCCACAGTGCCACTTCCGGCTTTTTCTTTGTGCTTATGTGGTGCTGAGGAATCGAACCCAGGGCCTCAGGCATGCAAGGCAAGTGCTCTACCACTGAGCCACCTTCCCAGCCTGCTATTGCCATTTTATCACATGGTTTCTCTCTATTTTTTTTTCAGATTCATCTGAAAAAGAGTCTTCAGTTGCAAACATCATAATGTCTCTTCTCAGAATATTTCCATGTTTCATCTATAACAAAGGACATTTTTAACAATTTTAATTTTATTACACTAGTGGATACTTATTGTTGATACAATATTATCTAATAGACAAAGAAAAATGTCTCAATTGTCCCTAAACTTATTTTCTTATTTTTGCTTCTATGATTTAGGACCCCTAGTCACCATGTCCTGTGTAAAATTTGAGGGCTGTTTTTTCTATTTCCTTATAGACATTGGTAAGTTCGATTTTGAAGATAAGATTAGTCTTTTATCTGTCTTCATGAAAGTAAAAATAGTTGTAAATGGGATTGAATTTGAAGCAACAGTCGACCTACAATGTTTGGCTTAAATCTTTCCCATTTAATTTCCCCAAAAGATGTGCTAAATCTTTCTCATATGAAGACATTTATGTTTAAACTCTTCTAATACATCTGTATTTCCTGCCTAATGATGAATATGTAATTTTAGAAGAGCAGTAATCATGTTTACATGTCGTGACTGAATTGATGTAGGGTTTTTTTTGTTTGTTTTTTGTTTTTGTTTTTTGGTTTGGTTTGGTTTTGGTTTTTTTCCTGGTGGTAATAAATGCTGATGGCCAGGTGACTGGATTCAGTAATCAACCACTCATTGCTAATACCTGAAATTGTCACTTAGAAATTCTAGTGTTTATTCTACACTTGACTATACATGTATATAAGAATATGGATTTGGCCTCAAACTTGAGGGCAACTGGGGCCATAGTTAACTCTGAAGACTAATAACTTCAATGTCTCTTCCCGCTTCTCTGTACATGACTTTTGTCTGAAGTGCAAAGATAATTTTGAAGAAATAAACCAGAGGTAGAAACTAATAAAGATCGGTATAATGTAATTATCACTATGTGATCACCCAGTGTACCCATTTCCTAGATTGAACTGAACAGCCATGTTTGCTTTACCTCTTTACTTACATCCATATTTTCTGCTGATTCATTTAAATATGTCCTCCACATTGTGATACTTCAACCCTGCAAAATTTAAAAATAAAAATAACATGTTATAGACAGTTACAGTAGTAGAACAGAAAATTAATGTTAATTTCTTTATTTCATCCAATATCTAGTCCACATTCAGATGTCCCTAAAGTACCTTTTTAGCTTAGTTTTCAATCTGGGACTATTCAAGGACTGTGCATCTTCTAAAGTTATTCTACTTTGTGATCAAGATCTGGAGACTTGATCTTAGGAAGCACAAGACGTCAGGTTGTCTCATCAGAGGTAATATCATGGTCACAGCCTAAAAGTAATTTTCCTATTTACAATTATCCAGTAATCAATGAGGACAATAACCTTGGCACTGTGTGGTCAAACAATTGATATCGAACAATTTTCTAAATGGATTTAGCATCTTAATTACTCACCTGAACTGTTGATTCAACATGGTTTTCCTTTCTCCATAGTTTGGCCAACAATCTTTTGTGAAGAAACTTTTTCTCATCACTAGGGTTGCATTGCAGCTCTTCCCGCAAAGACAGAACTTGCTATACTTTAACTATGGAATTTTAAAGAATTGATGTCACATACTGGTATCGTATGATGTTAGTAATATATATTGGAGTTGATGCTTGTCCCTTCTCTGAGTAACAAATAAGTACTTGCTATCTCATTTCTCTATATACTTTCAAATATAATAATAAACTCATAGATTGTGAATTTACTCGATGTTTGAATGGTTTTAAATTCAAGATAGATGGTTTAATTATTTTGCTTTCTCTGGAAATTTCTAAGGAAACATGAATTAATATATACCCCCCCCCCTTTTTTTTTGCCATTCCTGGGGCTTGAACTCAGGGTCTGGGCACTGTCCCTGAGCTTCTTTTGCTCAAGGCTAGCATGCTACCACTTGAGCCACAGCACCACTTCTGGCCTTTTCTGTTTCT